GAATAATTGGCAACATCTGAGAATGATTTGTATTTAAGAAAATTCAAAGCGAAGAGAAAAGGAAGAGTGAAGAGTGAATTAAAACAAACTTCGTTATAAATAGAAAACTGCTGTGCCTGAGGTGTCTAGCAATAGTTGCAAGCAGATCGCTGTGTTAGCAATGCTTGCGATAATGCACTTACTTGACAGGGATGTAGCTGGCGATGGGAAAGAGGTAATTGATTCTGCCCAGTGCGTTCCATTAGCAGCTCCTGTGAGCGAGCGAAAATATCATCCAATATGCCACTGGCACGCTGGGGAGCATCGAGACGGCCGCGCACCAATTAGCAGTTGTTCTCAAAGCGATTGCTGTTGGAGTTGCCAGCTGGCATTTCTTGCTAATTGGAAAAAGATGGAAAGACACGTAAAGAGTTGTGCAAGGAACATGCGGGGCATTGTTGCCCGATAACACTCATGTAATGTGTACGTACTTTTCATGAATCTGTCTCGCTCCGCCAGCTTTTGACGCCCAGGTAGAATACAACCTTTAAACCTGGGAATCACTGATAATTTCGACGATACTAATCCCGTAACAGATAGCTAAGTGGGTGACCGTGCATATCTAAACAGCCAACAAATGAGAACAGTTCAAATTTTGGTCCTGGAAGCCCCTGAATATCCTTATCCTTTTTTTTTTCTCGCGAAATCGGACTGAGCGGGTTAGTGAGAGGGCGCAATTGTACAAGGGATGAAGTCTGTTCGGACCACTGGGCGAAAATTACGCGAACCATCCCAAAAGCCTTCATCGAGCAGACCGCATGTATCGTGTAAGTGTAGAAATCCCAGAGGAATCGAATTCCTGACAACTTTCATTGCAACGTATAAGGGGCCAGAAATTTTGCAGTGATTTCGAGTTCTGTACAGCTTCGTCTCGGTCAGCCATCCTTTTACAGGTCACCTTTTCGTAGTGTGGAATGTCTTCAGAGTCCTAGAAAACATAACCGGTGTACACGCATACGACATAATCAAGGATGAAATGTACTGTTTGGGTTGCCCACTCTCACGAGCTCAACTACGGTAAAGCTGGTGCTCGAATTACTTTGAATTTGGATTGCTAAACATTTTGAAGAGTTCATGTTACCCGCACTATTCTTTATTGCCTTATGAGACTTGAAAGTTGCTTCACTAAGTAAACTCCCCGCTTATCCGCTTCTTCCCAGTCATTCACATCCGCTCTTTCTAGATAAGTAGTAATGGTAATGAAAATAATAATAGGAATAATAATGATAATAATAGTGAAAATAATAATCTATTTGAAAATAGGCAAAGCTGTAATGCAGTGTGTTTTTGCGCTAAACTTGAAGCAATCAGGTCGTTAATTACATGTATGGTTGTTGCTTTACATTTAACTTGGGCACTTATTGCTGTAAAGCATTGTACATTTGGCATAAAGGAAAATACATTGAAAAATAATGATTTCAAGGAAAATAAATAACGGCATTGGTACTTCTTTCTTTGGGTGTTACTGCGAACGCCATTGCTCTGGTACCATTGCTCGTGTGCACCTTGTCCCTCATTGCTTTGTTTGCTTTGCTGAGCAGTCGATGTTTTCAGCGCGCACCCGACCGATGTAGTACTCTTGTCTTTCCCTAATTTTCTGCCGTTTGTTGCTTCGTTTCACATTATTCGCGCTGTTTCATTTCGCCGTGTGTTTCTGCGGCGTTCTGAGCGCTATGGGATGGATAATGCAGGATGTGTTTAGCATTTAGAGAGCAAAAAGCGAGGCAATTGGCGAGCTGACGACAGTGGCAGTGAGGCCCGCTGAGGCACGCACTTCTCGCCCAAAAAATGTTACCCTGAATAAGGTTAGCCAACACTTACGTTAGTATTATTATTTCCGTTATTACTATGTGTAGCCATCACTGTTATTATTATCACTGTTACTGTTATTACTTTTGTTTAATATGATTACACGTACTGTTATTTTGCATTTCACACAGCGATGTGCATATTTCACTGGTTATCAGTTATAATCAAGTTCCCCGAGAGCATACAGACACTCGTTTTGGGAGCTGTTGGTACGTTCTGCCGGTGAAGCATTGCGGGTCGGTCATGTTCAACTACGCTTTTGCGTTGTGAGCTGCACTGAGTGTTCTTTGAGCAAACAGTTCTGATTTCACTAAAAAAATACATTTCCCTTCTGTCTCTACTAATTCAGCTTGTTTTTCCGTACACTTCTCATGCTCGGTGTTATCTTTCTTTCTCCGTTATGATGCGGGAATGGACTTTGCAAGCCATTCTCGAGCGTCGGCTTTATGAACATTCCCACAGGCTTCAACAAGATATGTTACAGCACGGCTAAGCTCGCCTGATCCATGCTGTTATGAGCTTGACCAGCGATAGCTAGAACTGAAAGTCATGGAACAATACATAGTATAGGTTTCTGTCGGTTTTTCAGTATTTCTTTCTGTGTGGGAACATGCACGGTTTAAGTCTTCAGTGGCATCGCTCTGAAACAGCCCCCATTTTCTCATTAAAAGTGAGCAAAGCACGTGTACGTGTTTTGGTTAAAGCGTAAAATTTAGCTAGCCTCCGCATTAATCTCGCAGGTTGAAATTCATCCTTTGCGCACGCTTAGTTCTCACCTACGGCCACGCGAAAGTTTTGACGTCAGTTTTAAGAACTGGAGTACCACAAAAGCTAGGGAGCTGAAAATTTAAGAGAATGTTCCTTGATCACTACGCAGTAGCGGACTATAATTGGCACTTATTCCGTCCGTACTGGCTGTTTTATTTTGTCAATGCTATCCCCCTTCTCTTCTGCCGCTCCTGATTTCGATACTTTCTAACAGTTGGGTTCTTTACGAGCGTTCTTGCACTAAATTTGTTTGATTTCGCTGTTTTCAGTACAGGCGCAGCTGCGTTGTTGAAACCTGGTAAACGGTGTTTCTTTGCATTCTTGCGAAAATTATTCTGCGCGGACATTGTTCTCTCGCTTTTCCCTCGTTTCGTTTGCTTGCCTAGATTTTAAATAATTGTAAAATTTAATTAACTATGGAGCAGGCCACAGCAAACTATGCAACATCTGTGCCCGCTTTCTCCGCTGATTGCTTTTATAACAGCAACTACTTATATTTTGATGGACCGGCGAGAACACTGCAGGAATTGATCCAAGAACTCATCTCGTGTATGGCATTGAATAAACAAAAGTCAAGGCACGACAGGGTACAAACTCTTGCAGCTTCAAACATGCCGAGAAGACACTGTTTCTCCAGCTAGGCCAGGGGCACTACGGTCAAACCAGTCAACCGGTGGTAGTGCGGAAACCTTCAAGCGACTACGCACAAATCGCAGATGCAGAAATATGAAGTGTACGACGTTAAATGAAGTCAAAAAAATACAAAAACAGGTCTCAGCTTCGCGCACGCTTCGATCCGCTGTGACGGATCGGTCAAGAGAAGGGTTGTTAGGAAATTCAGATGAAACGATGCTGTCACGGGACAGGCGAGACGTCCCAACAGGCACGTACATCTCTTTATGTAAAATTAACCAGAAATCATCCTAAGGGAGTATTGCAGCGCTAAGGGCATGTGAGAAACGCAACAAGAAGCGGGATGCGTCGTATCACTTGGTAAACGTGACGGTCAGGGGAAAATTACTAAAAATTGCTCGTCGCAGATCACCTCTTGTCACTTTCATGCCCCCCTATGAATCAGTGCCCTCCCTTTTCGATTAGAATTCACACAGCTTCGTTAAGATTTATCCTCCCGCTCAACCAACCGCAGCTACATGTGCGCAGCCAGTAACTGAGGAGGAGACACTGGAGAAATGTGTATCAGCAAGCAAGAGAAACGTCTGTGATGGAGGAGTAACGGCAGAAGTTGCAACTGATAAGTACTCTCTCCACCCGTAAGGCGTGATTAAGACGAAGATGGATTTTTTGGGGTCATGCCAAACCCAAAAATTAAAAGACGACTCCGATTAGTTGTTGGGTCAATGCTTGCCACATTGTTAGAAATGTGAGGCAGATCTTTTATTGCTAGCCCGTTGCTTTAACATTATTGGGGAGTAGACAAACGGCTTAAACAAATAACGAAGTGCTGCAGCAACCTAGTGAAAG